GTCTGCGGCACTTGTTATCCGTCTGTTGTTTGATGATAGGATTAAGTTGTGTGAAGTTCGTAAGTTGGTAAATGATAAGCTGAGTAGTTGTGAACTCCCGCGCTGCATCATCCGTAGGGCACGCGCATCGGTCCGCATCGTCTGGGTAAAGAATCCGAGCGTTGCGGATTTATTGCATAATCAGCGCCAGTACGCTCGCGCTGATGTGTCAACCTGCTCTTGTGCAGGCTTCCCTTACCCACGGGTAAGAGGGCACGTGCGCTGCAGACTGCAGGAGCTGGAGGGAATTCCTGACTTGGCCTTGAACGCCAATAACGTGCCTTTAGCTCGACAGCAAGACCGAACAAGTAGATTATGCTCTGAAATTGTCGATGGGTTTCGTCAGTGGGTAAATGCGAAAGGGCAGGTGATATCCTGCACGGCATCTGAAGTGGTTAGATGCATGCAGCCGATTGCGCTGGAAGAACGTGGTTACCTGGACAAGGGTGCTGTACTGGACCTCAAAGCAAGGCTTGATGGCCTGGTCTTGACCCCTTTGGACAGGAACCCGGGAGTAACTCTTGTGATATGTCCGGCCCTGTACTACCAGGGTATGTTCGATTTGTTCATTCGGAATGATGGCTACGTTCCCATTGTGGGATCCGAATCGGATGTTATGGCTGCAACGAGGGAGTGTTTGAGGAAGGAAGGCCTGCTTGCCTTTGGTAAGTGGGATGGGAAAGGGCATGTAGGGAAGGCCTATGCTCTACCGAAGCATAAGGACCTCGATTGGTACAGACCGATATGCCCGACGTTCTCTGAGCCAACCGCGAGAACGGGTAAGGCGGTAGCGAAGGGACTGAACCACTTACTGTTCACACTGCCACATGACTTGCATTTTAATTTGAAAGCAGTGTCATCACTGACTAGCCGTCTTGAGGCTGTCAACAGGAAGTGTGCACGGCAAGGTAGCGGGGCAATATTGACTGCACGGTCCTACGACATCAAGGACATGTTTAGCCAGTTACCGCATGATGAGATCTTACAGGCAGTTGACTGGGTTATCAAGTGGCACAAGGAGAAGGGGAGGCAGTTCGTGCGTGTGAACACACGCGGACGGGGGTCAACGTTTGGACTGACGACTGGACAGGACCACTGGCGACTACTTGAGTTCGATGACGTCTTCAATTTCATCCGGATTGATCTGAGACACACATATACCTTTGCTTTGAATGTCCTGCTGCAGCAGCGAATCGGTATTCCGATGGGCAAGAGTACAAGCCCACCTCTTGCTTGTATACTCTGTGCCCATGCTGAACACAAATTCCTCTGTAGCTTAGGGACAAACAGGCAGAGGGTGTTTGGTGTCCGTCTAGTCGATGATGTGAGCTTGATCATCGCCAGTAAGACACCAACTGAGCAGGAAGTCGATGGAATCTGGCAACGTTTTGAAGAGTGTTATCCCTCTAACCTGTCCCTCAAACGTACGGATGATGGGACAGGCAAGTGGGACTTTCTCGGTTGTGAAGTGAAGATTGATCCCACGATGAAGCAAGTTTTGAGTGTGCAACTGACGAAGAATGAGAAGACACTATGGACTTCTGAGATTCTTGAGTTCAAGAACGGGCAATCCTATTGCTCGTAGGGCAGCAAGTCACAGAAAAGTGCAGTTATTGCCGGACACCTGCACAGAATCGACTGAAACACCTCTGCACGATGGGAGATCCCTCGGAGGGTGAACTGCCTGCGTCGGGAACTCCGGATCAAGGATTTCCCGAACCGCCTGTTCTTACGGGTCTTGAAACGTTTTGCTCGAGGAAGATCAGAGCCGTGGACAAACGTCTGCCAGTTTATGACTGAGTCCACGGCCGTGCCAAACTAGTGCGTTTGTTCGGAGCATTAGTGGACAGGGCTGGTATCCGAAATAGGACTATAGTATGGGTTTGAACTGTTTTTGTGTGTGGTGTGGTTTTGCTGTGCTTTTCGTACCTGTGCGGTATCCGGTTGGTAGTACTGCTGTTACACCAAGGACTGACCAACCTGGGACTTACCGGCTCAGCCTTTTGCTGTTGAGTGTTTTGTCCCGTAGTTGATACTTTGTAGGGGTAGGAGTATCGTACGTCGGAGTGTTGTGAATTTTGAATTGTTGTTTGGCCCGACCGGGGGTAGGACCCACCTAAACCTCGTAAAGGGCCCGTCGTTGCTTTGTCGTTTCAGGGGCAGATTGTGGGCACCTGGGAGCAAAGGGAACCGAGTAGCACATAAGCAATGACGAGTTATCATTTTGTCTCTTTTCCGGGACCGACGTTGCAGTCGGCATTTCCGGGATGCCGTTCGTGCAACGGAGGCGGGTTGGTGGTGGGAAGGTTTAGTGGGGTGTGTGGGAGGAAGAAAACCCCTGAGGACGATCATCGGGAGGCGATCGAAACTGGTCGGGGATCCGCTTTTCCAGATTCAATTGATGAATGAAAATAACTCTTTCTATCATTGCTTTGCGGTTTGGTGTGTCAATACACGATGTGCATGTGTGACGCTGTTTGGTGTGTCAATACATGATGTGCATGTGTGACCCTGTATGAATGAGGTGTATCTCACTGTCAGTATCAAGACCTTGCCGCCCCTGAATCTGTAACTGTTTTTGTTATAC